GCTTTTCTTTGATGTATAACTTTTTTTTTTGTTGCTTCTTGTGTAAGATGAGTGTATGTTACATTAACAGTAGTCTGCGAGTAGTCACGCTAGTTCCGTTTTTTTCTCGTGCGTACTGTATTCGGCTTGCGTCTCTTGTGTTCTTCGTTATCAAAGTTGATTATTTCCCAATCTGTGGTCAGAGTTGAGCAATTTTACTCCACCACTTTCAGCACCTTACCAATTGCAATAGTCTTATCTGCAAGTTGCAAGAAAAAAACCAGTTGAAACTTGATCAAATGATTGTAAATGAGAAATAATTAACTTGAAATTAAAACTTTTGAAATTTTGTTGCACATTTTAATATACAAAATGCAAAGGATATCGTACTTACTTTCATCCCTAAGGGTGAAACGTCCCATCTGTGGAAATAGTTTAAATTTCTCAAGACATATAACACCTGCACATTCGATTCTCATTATTGCCACTTGATCCTGTTTGACGAACCTCGGCCTGGTTTTACTTTTATCCCCAGTTTTCTTGTCGACCAAACAGATTAATGCTTTTACTCTAACTTCCTCTGCTGCACAATGAATATGCATCACAGCACTGTAGCCAGCGCAAATAATGCTCTTGTGCTCCAAAATTACAACTTGAGCATCAAACACTTTCCCTGTTTTTATCGGGTTGTTACTATCACACAGAACGAATCCAGGACTTACATCTTCTTCTTCAATGCCTTTTAATTTAATTTTTACATTCTCACCAGGACCAACTGATGTCACTTCTTCATCGTCTGACCATAACTGATCTACCGTCACTGCCGTCTAATGAAGGATAAAATACAATGGAATAAGTACTCAATTTAATATTTAAAAAAAGAACGATACATTAAAATTAAAATGGATGATAGATACCCTATTCGGCATGACAAGTAACGACTGTCCTTTTTTTGCTTCTCCAGCCTCGACCTTTCCCATTACCACTGTTCCCATATCTTTATATTTATCAACAATTGGCATAATGAAAGGTCCGTTGTTTTTACGATTAAGTGAAGGTAAGGAATCAATAAAAGATATGAACGGCGGACCAGTATACCATGTACAAAGATGTTCTGGTATCGGGTCTTTTAAACCATAACCAAGCTGTCCTGAGACTGGCATGAACGTAAGATCCTTAGCAGGATTAAATCCCAATTTACGAAGATATGGTAATATTTTATCCCTAAACAACGTAACAGTTACGTTTGCATCCTACAATGTTCTAAATTAACAACTAATATGCAACATACCTGCACTCGTTGTATCTTCTTTCATCCCACTCTACAGTTGGATCGTCCATTTTATTCACTAGCACAACTAGATGTTTAACGCCAGCAGTTTTAGCTAACATCGCGTGTTCCCTCGTTTGACCGCCTCTATCGAAACCAGTCTCAAATTCTCCTTTCCGCGCGGAGATAACTAACACTGCGAGATCGGCTTGCGCCGCTCCGCCAATCATATTAGGTACAAAACTCTTATGACCGGGAGCATCTAAAATTGTAAAATGTTTCCTTTCAGTTTCAAAGTACGCTCTACCAACTTCCACCGTTTTTCCTTTTTCTCGTTCCTCTTGATTCGTGTCTAAAGCCCAGCTCAAATACCACGTTTCTCTACTTCTTTCTTTTGCTTCTCTTTCGTACTTTTCTAAGGTTCTTTTATCGACCATTCCCGTTAATGCCATAATCTGACCACCAATCGTTGATTTTCCTGCATCTGTAGGGCAAATTGAATCAATGCTAATTCAAATATCATCTTGTACATTGTTTCCTTAATTTGTCAACAAAACTGTTACGTACCAACGTGACCTATAAAAACAACATTAACATGTTCTTTTTTACTCTTAGTATCTTCTGTTACTTTAACAGGTTTTTTCTTGGGAATCTTAACAACCATCTCTTCATCTTCTTCATTTTCAGCCTAGAAGCAATCCAATTGTACATAACAAACAGACAGATTATTAAAAATATCTGAAAAATGGTCTTCTCATATGAATGTATGAAAAGTTGAACATACCTCTTCATTTTCAGGAGTTAAAAGGGGATCGCCATCTACTGCTGCTTCTTCCCATGAATCAGCTGGTTGATGTTCAGGGCTACTATTTATCTGGTCGTTTACGTTTGGAGGTGGAGCCCCTCCTCCAGCAGGTGGTTCCTCCACACGACTACCCACTGGATCTGGTAAAACCACTGGTGTAGTGTTATCTAATAACATACACAAATAAAAATGACATTTTTCTACTAAAGGAACCGTGAAAGCTAGAAAAATACTGATATGGTTCACACTGTTGTTTTGAATTTTTATATTATCTTATTTCCATAAATACTCATGTACTATCATAACATAGTGAGTCATTTCCTTTGTTAATGTTTATGTATTGATTTTGAAAATGATACACTTGTTTGATCCGTGCAATCAAGATTAGATTATAAAGTATAATTTAAAGTTTGAAAAACATTTTATTACTTTGAAAATATCACTTTAATATTTTTGTATCATACTTAGTAATTATCAAATAGACTCTCTTTTTCAAGAGATAAATAAGTTAATAAATTCAATATAGATATGTAATCTGTACAAATCTGATACGTATTTGTTCAAGAAACAGAAATTTATACATAAATACAACCGATACTTATACATACTTGGGTACTTTAGTCAGTATCATCGATTCCGTTACGTACAAAACAAAAAGTTATTGTATTTACTCCCAACTTCATGTTCTCAATTGCACAAACAAATACTATGAATTTAGCGTCGAATTAAGCATTGCACAACATTGGATTAATCTTAAACGTACACATATTGTACCTGAGCATATTGTACCGTTCGCACTTAGGCTTTCTCATCAAGCATTTCAACGATGACAATGAGCAACGAAATTGATCCAGACACAAAGATCGACTCGTGTTCTGCACCAACAGTTACATGAAAGGCAGAAACCGAAAGTATGTGAAACTAGGGGGTTAGCCACAGAAGTTACTTTACAGATTACTTTGCAGCAACATGGGTCTTGTACATTGCATCTGTTTACAGTCAACAGCCCGCACATTCGTTTAGAAAGAAGTAATTTAACCGACATCGCACCGAGTTCGGGCCGAGTTTTATCTCAAGACTAACCGTGATGTATCTCAGGAGGGATAGAAGTGGTTACAGCATTCATCATGACAGCGACATTGCAGGAACTGTCGGCCGTGTTGCTGTTCTGCGGTGAAGAATTGATGCAGAAAGAAGGCACAAATTCCGCAGCATTTACGTTCAGGGTGGAGAATTTACTCTCGATGGACTTGTCTTGTGGTGGGCCGATGTCTCCGTTGTCCGCCTGCTGTTCCCACGAATCTGGTGCTACACTGTTCGCCATATTTACTAAGAGTTCAATAGTCGAATCGGTCTCGGCAGGTTAATCAAACACGGGAATCGTTCTACGCTACGTGCAGGATCCCGATCAAGCCGCGATTACAATTGGGACGGGGTTTAAAAAAATAATTATTTATGATATCTCCGCGCAACACCGTACACGCGTATCGGTAGTCCGCGTGCGACCCCCGTGGTCTGTTTCGTTGTTCTACTTCCCGGAACTGCAAACATCAAAACACCAACTTTCAACTCCAGAACGTTCCGTATTTTTTTGCACGTGTTCCGGACGGGTTCCTGTCGCCGCAAAATCAAGAAACGTAATGAGCGTCCCGAATCTGCGAGCAGCGCGGCAAATCGCGCCCGAACTCTCAAGCCCGCGATTTTGCCCGAAAATATCTCTAGTCACGCGATTAGGTTGGTGCCACCGCATTCCCCTCTCTGCGCATCCAGGAATTATCATAATAGAATGGAAAAAGGTAACATCGCCGGCTAAAGAAATATTCGTCTTTTACGATGCAGGGACTATAATTCGCCTGTATGCTTTAATTACAAATTAATCGTACGATTTAATTTTATTGTGGTGTATAGAGAGATTGTTAAGTTACCTGAGTGTAGTGACATACGCACATGTGTAGTGTGTGTGTACGTGCGCGCGTATATATGCATGTATATATATTAGTGTGAATCTTTTTGTAAAACTTACTAAATAATCAACACTGCAGGGTACTGTATAGAGTATCATATATAGTATTTTTTTTTTTTTAAATATATTTTTTAATATATTGCATTATATTTCATATTATATATTTACAGTATTTTTCTTTATGCTGCAGTGCTTCAAAAATAAAATTTCTTTTCTATTTCTTCGTATCTTTCAAGAATTTTTTTATTCATAAGAAAAATATTATTATACACTTTATTATTTCTATTTTTTTTTTTTTTTTTACTACATATGCACAAATATATACGTATAATAATTATTACACACATATAGTTATTTACGATACATATGTATCTTATAATAATTACTATACATATATACTTATATAAGATTGTCTTTCTCTTTATATCATCATAATTAAATACATATAATTATTTTTATATCCGTGTATTACGTCTAACGTAACAGTCTTTGCATCTTTAATTCTGAGAGAATTAAACACACAATGAGGTTAGTGTTTCCTTTTCTTCTGTCGTTTTTTATTTCCACCACCTTTGACATTGCTCGTTACTTTCTCTGTTTCTATCTTTCGTTTCGCCGTTTCTTTCATGTTTTCCTTCACCGCCATCCTACAGGACTCCGTAGTTGCTGTAGGTACGCTGAAACCTGGGATCTGTTCGCACGTAATTTTTACAATCATTGAAACGTATCATTAACATAGACAGTTAAAATTCATTGCAATTTACTTACAAATGGTTTAACCAGCTTAAATATTAATTTTTCATGTTGAACGTTAGATCTGTTCAAACTTATCTGCACAGTGACCGGATCAAAAGTACGAAACACGGTATTTCCACAGGTTTGTGAATGATTTTCGGCGTTGTACGTAAATGTGACGTCCGAATTTTTATCTTTGTTCAAATACAGAGTTCCCTCCAAACCGTATTTCAACACCAATATTTGCAGCGCATTCTTTCGTACAAAAAGTATATAGCCTTCTTCATCTTGAATTTTTTCTCTGAAGAATAACTGAAAAAGGGAAAGCACAATGAAAAACATTCGTCTAATCAGACCAATAACGAAGCTGAACCAAATACAAACATGAGTGTTTAGCGCTACAGATGCTCGAGCTGCATATTGAGCCATTTTATGACGATAATTCATATTCTGACAAAGTGCGTGATTCTTCTTTTTGTCTAATAAGTCCGGGTATGTTGCGTCGGCCCCAATGCAAACTGCCAATAAACGATGAACCATGACGTCTGCATACCTATGAAATTAAATAGATGTATGCGTTCAAATTAAATATAATAGTTGTATATTTCTTACCTTCGAATAGGCGATGTAAAATGAGTATATATAGGACACGCTAAGCCATAGTGATAGTAATCACTTGGTTGAAGCATGCCACTAATAAAATACACAGCTTGCATCATACAACGTGTGGCAAGTATCCTTAACATAATATTGAAATAAGGATTGTTTTCTTTGTGACATTCATCTAACGATGCTGCTAATTCTTTGCCACTATTTACATTCATAATGAAACCCTGTTGAAAAAATATTGTAATTTGCTTGAATTATCATTTTTTGAATAAAATTTTCGTACCTGATTTTTTGCGGCTTTTATGAGAGGCTCGAAATTAGCAGGTGGTGGTTCAGGATGCCTTCTTAATACAGCATACTCTGGAAACTCGTCCACGATCTTCTTAGCAACCGAAATATTTGCAAGCAACATGAATTCCTCTACCATGGAATTAGTTTCTCGCAACTTCTTTGCTTCTACTTCGATAGGATCATGTGTTTCACAATCTACTTGAAAACGAATTTCCGGAGATGCTAATACTAATGCTCTGCATTAAAAATAAATTGTAGTATCATTATATTATCATAACTATAGTGTATTATCAGATTAGATATAGTATATTATTAGTAGATATTCTTGGGAAACGACTTTGCGTACCCATTGTCCAGACGTTTCTTTTTTAACTTTTTGGATAAATAATTAAGATTTCTTAATGACTTCACAAGTGGGTCGTGCTGAGTGGCATCGTCAATTTTTAATTGAGCTTCGTCGTAAGTCATCGCTGCTCGTGAGCAAATTATGGACTTACAAAATTTAGTATTAATTATATTTGCATCTTTATCCATTTCCCATATACAAGAAAATGTTAATCTCTCTTGTTTTTCCAATAAAGAGCAGAGATTTAAACTAAGTAAGTCTGGAATTATTAATATATTGCATATTATTAATATATACAGTGAAGAAGATGAAATTCTCAAAATTTTGTTTGACAGAAATGAAATTTAAATAAATTCTACCAGGAAGCATATGAATTCTTCTATCAACCAAATATACAGTCGTAGACCGCAGTGCTGCTTCTTTATCCAACGCTGTACCAGGCCTCATAAAATGTGTTACATCCGCAATATGTACACCTACTTCTAGATTACCATTTGGTAGATCTCTGCAATGAAGTGCGTCATCAATATCTGTGCACCCGGGTGGATCGACTGAACATATATCCAGATGCCTTAGATCTTCCCTTTGCGCTAAGTCCTAAAAATGATTTGTATTAAATTGAAGTAAAGAATAATCGAAAGAATTACTTTCTATTAGTCTTTAATATTATGTTATTACGTACGACATCCGTGACATTCCACGGCATCTTTGGTAATGAGCTAAGCACAGCATCAGAAAATCGACTATGAGGAATATCATGTTCCAACAATATCACTTCGTTTTCAGTCGCTTTATTTCCTATTTCACCTAATGCACGTACGAAATGACCAAGAGGATATCTAGAATTACGCGGCCATGAATCAATAGCTACAATGATTCTTTGTTTACACAATACTGTATACTGTCTAGTTTCGATTCTTATTTTAGGTATTTTTCGTTCGGCTGGCACGAATATATGTCGCACATTCTAAATAAATAGAAGATTATGAAATATGAATTATACATATGTGTATAACCTAATTGTGAAAACTTGTTCATCTTTTACCCCTTCAATGTTACTGGGTTGCAATATTCCACAATATTGTCTCCAATTTCTTCGAATAATTCCAACAACTTTGCCAGTCTGTGTCTTTTGCATTTTGTTCGACGAATCAAATTTATCTACCACTTTCTTTGCTTCTAAAACATTATCAACGTCTGTTTCTTCTTCATCTTGTAAAACAATATCACTGGGTGATGACCACTGATTCTCTGGCAGAAGTTCCACTGCAACTATATCGCCATCAACAGCTCTATTAAGGTTACTGCGACCTTGGATAAAAATCTAGAATCAAATATATGTAATAAATACATATCTATTAAAAATATAGAAAACAAGTACTTACAGATTTTTCAACTCCATCTACATTCACAAATCCTTCGAGGAAATTTTCTTTTGAAGCTTGAAATGTTCCCTGTAGAAGTTTTCCAGTTTTTATGTTATCATGTAATTCAGATGGTGTAAAATGACATGGAAAAAACTCTGGACCTTCATATACTGCGCTATAACTCTTTTTACACAATTTATCAGCCAAAAAAGCTGAATTTTCTAATGATAAAATATAATCCTCCACTAAAAAAGGACAAAAATATAATAAAAATAATAAAGAGTATAATTCTAGCTATTAAATAAATATTTTACTTGAGATAGTTGGAATTTCTTCTTTTTCCGCCAATTCTCTATTTCGTGCATCATCTGTCAACAGCACAATTTTGATCTTATTATCATCTAGATCTAGATGTGCGTTATACCACTGTGTTGCAACTCTAATTGCTCTATCATTTCTATCATTTGTGCTTTCACCAGGATTACGCTCGATGTAAGTATCTCTGCATAAAAATAGCAAAAATGTAAATAATAATAAATTATATTTTATATTTATATATTGTTGTTATGATGATACATACTTATGATGTTCATTAACAAATACATAAAATTTTCTTTGTGGGTTAGTAATAATATTCTTCAATCTCTTATAAACCATGGAACTTCTATGTTTCACTTCGTCTAATACTGTTTGCACAATTATAACATTGCAAATGATATCTTCTTCCAAAATGTCAATCTAGAAAATTATAATTACATACATTGAATAACAAATTACATCAAAATTACATAATAATGAATTATATTATGAATGTTGAACATGTCAGATCAAAATTACAATCACCTGATCTAAAATAATATTAGTATCAATTAATAAATAATAAGGTTCTGTTATTTTAGAACTTCGTACACTGGAATCTTCATCGTCTAAAATTATGTTTCTGGTTTTGCACATGCACTTTTTACAAGCTTTAGATCCACAGTGAATATCATTTCTGAGGTAGTGCTCTCTAACAGTCTAAAAATGAAAAATAAATTTCATATAACATCTCATAATTCATCTTTATTTTATTTAATCTTTTGAAAAATGATACATTGAAAATGATTTCACTGATATTAATTAATTACATATTTTAAAATGTCAAAACACTTTTGATAACATTTGAAATACCTTAAACACATTCCCCCCTTTAGTTTTCCTGAAGAATATCTTGGTCGTTAACATATTGTCTGATTTTGTCGTATAGGAAAAAATATAAATATATTTGATTTATATATTTATTTGTGAAAGAAAGTAAGATACTGTTCTTTAAATTCAAACATAACAAATAGTCACTACATATGCATCGAAGGGTCAGACTCCATGATGTGCCAAGACAGGGCAGACAACTGTGAGTAATATAAATTTTAGTTTCATACTATATTACTATGAAACTTACAAATTACTATATAGTAATATAACAATAGCACTATATAGTAATATTTCATAATATGACGATCTCCCGGACAGGATAGACAACTGTGAAATATATAAATTTTAGTTTCATGCTGAAACTATATATTACTATATAGTATTATTACTATATTATTTCATAATGTATCAAAACAGGGTAGGCAACTATGAATGATATAAATTTTCATAAATAATATATTATAAATTTTATTTTCATACTATATCATTTATAAAATTATAAATTACTATTATATAGTGTCATTACTATATTACCATAAAATTATAATTTCATAGTAATTCTTGAATATACATTATAACTCATGTCCGTAAACTCTGGAAAGATACACGCATATATTTTATAGGTATTTTGCAGTATTTAAAATGAAACAATCAGTCATAATTCATTTTACATGCAAAACGCGTGAATCTTTATTACAAAAGATACCGTTTCTCGGTATCATTACATCATAGAAAAAAACTCTATAGAATAGGAATCATATTGTAATAAATTTCAATTACGGTGAATCACGTTAATTTAGAATCGTATAATTTAGAGTTGTTACATCTTCATTCGTCAATGAAGTCAAAATTACAAGATACCAAATTTCTGAAATTGATACTCTGTCCAGTGACGATCGACTAATCGATAATACGGAATTAAATTGTTCGATTCATCGATAGGTGAACGTTTATTTCCGCGTAGAATGACAGTTCTACGAGCTAGATACCAGTGTAGGAGTGTGTGCAAGTACTTGTTCCATTGTCATTTGATCCACGTGATGGCTGAAAATTTATGGTTATTTTTTTTATTTCTCCAGGCGTAACTCAGGCCGTCGTTGATCATCCTCTGTTTCACTGATGTCATCGGCTGCGCGTTATGGGTAACAAAGGGAAACCGATTGAAGACACCTAGCGCAAAAGTGATTCTCCCATTACGCGGAATGACTGTGATTCACTGTAAGAAACTCGTTCGAGAATTAAGAACGTTGCGCTAACATATCGGTCATGGTATTTTTTACATGTGTTCTAACGTCTCGATGTTTCTTAACGTACAGCCGGAAGAAAATTCTAAAATTACGTCGTACGCTTTACTCGGACGGTTACTATTAATGGAATCGTATTTACCATTGTCAGAAGTCGGATAGGAGTGTTTGTTAAATGACTTCGGAATTGGCATAGCTAACATTGACGGCGCAATGGAAAAATTCGCTATCGATTTGGACAAGGTTTTGGACGATTTCGAATTTAACGAAGGTAAAACTTGCCAGTTCATTTCCGGTACATTCAAGATTCTTATAAAGTTTCAAATTTCTTATGGTAATTTTTTGTCTAAATAATAGAAAAATTTCAGTTATTTTCTTTTACGAAGGTCATGATCTACAACTATCTATGAGATCACTTTCTTTTTTCAATAATTTTGAACAATTATCTTTGGTGGGATTGTTTCTATTTATTCATATTGTCAATGTTGCATGTTATCTGTTAATACAATGGATGTATATTTCAGATTGCGCAGAACAAATAGCATCTGTTAATCCTTCAGCAAATAATGCGTCATCTTCTTCAGTTAAATGTAACCTAGAACCTTCAGCTTTGAAGAATTATAATTATCTTCTGATAGAACCTAAAAAGGCTAATAAGGAATTTGATATTATATTACCCGTGGAAAGGTGCAAAGATCTGCAACAAATAAACACGAAGAATAAATGTGTTAATGAAAATGACACAGTCTCTGAGAATCTTAGTTATAGTACAGAAGCAGCAACAGTAGAAAATACGGATGTAAATCAGTTTTATACAAAGGAATGCACAAATGATAATAAGGTGGTACAAAAACAATCTGTTTCATCTTACGACTCTGACCAAGTTCCCTTGGCAATATATAACGACATATCGCAGAAGGTAATACAAAAACAACAGAATAGTAGCAACAGCCCAAAGATTGACAATAGGTACGATAAGAAATTGAACCAGTTTAATCTGAAACCTAGCGTTAGTAATGTTTTTAGCAGTCTAAATGAATATATTAACGCTCCGCCTGGAAGTTCAGATTGCATTAGTTCTGTATTAAGTGATTCAGAAATACAGTCTGATTTAGAGACTAAGGTATCTCACTGTCAGATAATTCCAAGCGCTGCTAAAGATAGCGTAGCACTTAAACCGACAGTGGACATAACGAATTCAACTAAAGATATTCCTGTCACAAGCTATCAAGATGACCCAGTATCTATAGCATTACCCATCCCATATGAAACTAAGAATATTAAAGAAGATATAAACAATATTCATGTAAAGAATTTCAAGCTATTGGAGAGTGAAACAGAACTCTCCAAAAATGTTGCAATAAACGAAGCTTTTGTTGACTTGAGTGATGAAGCAAATATTGAAAATGAGAATTCTGATAGAGTAAATCAAGAAAATAATTCTGTGCTTGAATGTTCTTCTGTACAGGATAATTATCATGAAAATGAGTGTAGTATACAGTTACAGGATAATGAAAAGAAATTAAACATGGAAAGTATTGATACAAATCAGGAACATGGGAACAGTTTAAATCAAGTACGTAAACCAATTGGATTTAGTAACATTGATAATTTATCAGAAGATGAATTGACCAAATATTTAGCTGAATTAGAAGAAGAAGAGAAATTAAGGGAAAGCTATAATAAGTATGAAAACATTATAAATATAACACAAAATGTTGCTCAAAATCAAAAAGATGAAAATAAGCAGAATAGCCAAGTTTTTTCAGATACTATTGTAGGAGCTTCCAAAATGATAGAATCAGAATTAAGTGAAAGGATAGAAAACATTTCAATAACTAATTCTCAGAAAGAAGAAACGGATAAACAATTGCAAAGTGTACAACAATCAGATGATCAGTTAAATAAAGATAAACACAAAGATATTTTAAATAATCCAAATAGTAAAGAATTAACATTATTGCATACAATTAATGTAGTTAAAGATAATAAAATGAAACTAGAAAATGAATGTGTGCCTATTGCAAAGGATATTAAAGACAGCCAACAGCATTCTATGTACAGTTTAAATATTAATCAGGGATCACTAAACAGTAGTAAAACAAAAATACAATTGAAAGAGCAAAAAGGAAGTTCTACACAATATAATCAAGCTTGTGATTTAAAAATGCTAAGCGACATCGATAGTACTTCTGAAGAAAGAACTTCAGTGACATCTGAAGAAAATATACTATCCGACAATACAAAACATAGTGGTGACGAAATGTCTACATCTGTGGATGTGTATACAAAACCAAATGTGAGTGACACCAGCGACGATTCAGAGAAGCCAATACGTCCTCAAACATTGGATATTGTTTTGTCAAATAATAGCAGCGAACACCAAGTACTTGGCTCTACAAGTGATACGCCATCTTACCAAGTTCAATCAGATGTTGATGGTACAAAGGAAGAGCAAGGATCTTCGCCGGATATTTTAGAGAATTCTTTGCCAGAAACTAGTTCAGTTTTGGGGAAACAACCACCATTCTGGGTTCCTGATAGTGATGCACCTAGTTGTATGCTTTGTGATGTCAAGTTTACAGTACTCAAAAGACGACATCACTGTCGTGCATGTGGAAAAGTATTATGTAACAAATGTTGTAATATGAAATATAAATTGGAATATCAGGGGAACATCGATTCACGCGTTTGTGTTTCTTGTTATCAGCTTCTCACCAAAGGTAAGTTTTCTTCAGCTTACTATTATTTTAGTTTTCTTTGAAATATAAGGAATTAATCGTTTATTTTTTTTTAGTTGAAACGGAACAGGGTATGGGAGAATGGTCTTCTGGTTATTCCACATACGCGAATAATAATGATATCAATTCACCCCAGGTATGTTAGATATGAGTTATTTTATATAATGTTGTCATGAATCCTTTTTGAACCTGCCATGAAATTTATAAATTCCGCTCTTCTACTAAAAAAAATTCAAGAGAGTGCTTTAAATCTTGCTTTGTAACAGACTGTTAACAATTTATAAAACATATTTGTTTCTTTAGATTTTTGGTTTAATCATTTATAGTTTGTTTATATTCTTTGAATTGTTTGCTTGTACATTTTGTAGATTTATATATTTGCATGTTTAGTTTGTTTATTTGTGATATTTGTATATTTTTGATCGTTTTATTTATTATATGTTTTATTATTGACGAATTGATTAATTTTATAAGATAGATTTGGCATATTGATTGTGAGTAACTTTGAAGCTCTCTTCTTTGACACAAAGTATATACCAATAGTAGCTTGTCATATTTTAATGTAGCATTAAATGATTACTTTCAATTGTTTCAAATTTTTTGTTTCATTCATTTGATTCAGTTGTTTACAAAAATAGCAATATGAGATATTATACTACTAAATCTTTGATTGTGAATTCTGCTATATTATTATTGATGTAAATATTTAATAAATTTTTGTTTATTCATTTCTCAATTTTTATTGAAAACAACACATTTGCAATGGAAACTTGTAAGACTCATTAATTTTCTATATTTAATCGATTTTTATCACATTATTTTGTTCCGTTTTTTTTACAAATTTTACAAATTTACAAATGTTAATGTTTTGTTGAATTCATTCATTCAGAGTAAAAATTAAATTTAGAAAAAACTTTTTTTACTTTTTGCGAATTTATTTAAATATTAGTATAAGTTTCTTTATCACCTATAACAACTTGTTGAATACTTCTTTCTTCTTCAAAATAAATTTATATGAAAGTACTAATTTGATGTAGAAGCTTTGATATTATTTTCTTTTTACCATCATATAAAAATAAATTTTTGCTATTTGAAATTTTTTTTTTAAATCGTTGCCATAATAAGTTTATAGTAATGTATTTTATCTATTTGAATTATGTTATGTTACAAATATTTCTTATTTCTTTTGCCATGCATTGCAATTATAAGGCATGTGTTTGAACTGTAGTATCTCTATGAAAAGTGACATGTTTGTTTCCTGTCTTAACAGTAATTAACGTCCAGTAAACACAGAAGATTTCTTATAATTTGCATTAATTTAGTTGTACAGATATATTAACAGTAGTTGTTGGATATTCTGTGATTTTATTTGAGCTTTCTGTAAATTTTTTAAATCAAAGAAACTCCTTTTTAAAATTAAAAGATTCTAGGTCATATGATATTATCTTATTGTATTAAAATATAATTAATATACAGCTAACAAGAACTACCATGCTATTTTATGTGCATGACCTGTGTTTGCTGGATAAGCAAATAAATGTGAATGTTAGGAGTATTCGACAAATCGTTATAGGGGAGACAGCCTAATCCAAATAATCCCATGGAGTACTGTTCAACTATACCACCCTTACAACAGTTAGCTGGCGGATTGCCTCCACCTCCCACAGTTATGGTACCTGTCGGAGTTCTTAAAAGAGAGGATGGTACAAAAAGCCGACCTGAAATTTCAAAATCTGTTATGTTCAGTGATGGTAAGTAAAAATGATATATACATATATCGTATTGTTCAAATTTATTGAAATCAAAAGAAAAAAACAATGTGCATTGGCAATGCATATGCTCAATAAATGTCTTTATTCGCGATAAATATTCCAGTTTTTGAATGTCTTACAAATATGCAATTTTTTGATTTACTACTAAAGCAAGAATTATCTTTGCTTAAGCATTAGAATGCAAACAGCTTTAGAATATTCAATGCTTGATATATACTATTCAAATCTGCTGCTACCTTGTGTAATAACTCGTTACACTTTACTCTTAACGTACCTTGTTATAATATTTTTAGTTCTTTGAGTTAAAATTACACTCCTCTGTCCAAGCTATTATTTTTTATTTTTCGTCTCCTTCAATATTTCACCCTGTCAGTGGACCTGTTCCTTCCTGTTTGTTTTGGTTTTATGCACCTCTAACTAAAACACAGGAATAAGGCCTGGCTGTGACCTGACAGAACTAGACATGTCGTGGGATATGAAACCGCCGTACCGGAAATCTGGAAGTAAACGTATACCAACACCTGGCTCATCTGCGCCAAGTACATCTGTCAAAAAGCAGAACTTGCCACGTTTGGACCCAAATACAGAAAGCTACGTGCCACAGGATCCTAATGCTCTCCCACCAACAGTAACAATACATAAAGGGCGTAAGTAATAACTTTATTTACAAAATACTAGCTAATTATATTACACAAGTTACACAATTCAACTAAATGTAAAACAGAGGTATCGTATCATGCTGTAACGGACGAGAATCTTCTTTACAAAACGTTGAAGAACGAGTGCGAACCACCTATTATGTTTGCCATTAATCGGAATCTTTATGCTTATGTTAAAATAGTAACTTGTAAGTATAAGCTTAAAGCATCTGTGATTCCTAATTCAACACAACTACTAATAAATATAATACAAATTACTTGTAGTAAATTGTTGTGTTAACAAAACATGTTGGAACGTAACATCAAAAGGATTGGATTGCGTTGGACAAGATGAAGTTATATTGCTAATCGAAGCACTGCCTGATGAAACTCGGGTGCCCAAGGATCTCCTTCTCTTTATCAACCAATTACATCTCGAGGCTATGAAAGGTATTATTTATATCCCACGCTAAGTAATTTTTAAAATCGTAAAAGTTACGCCACCACTGAACTATCTTTATGCAGGAAACACTGTGTCTGAATTGGGATTTTTGATATACCAGGGAGGAAATTTCTTAGATTCTCGAGAGCATGCAGGATTCTTATTCATTCGGCAAACGTCGCAGTGCTTGCAGAAAATTATATTACCTCCTGCCCCATACTTAATTGGTCTCCTAGTTCACAGGTTTGTTTCTTAACAGTGCAATAATAAAATTTGGTCAGAAAGGTACAGAAAGTTCATTAATTTTACTGATTATTCACAGGTGGGAAACGCCATGGGCAAAAGTATTTCCTTTACGCCTTGTCTTACGGCTGGGCGCAGAGTATCGTTACTATCCCTGCCCGTTATTCTCAGTTCGGTTTCGAGATGCATTATACTTTGAAATAGGACACACAGTTATGAAGGTACTGGCAGATTTCAGAAATTTCGCGTACACATTGCCGAGCGTGAGAGGACTGACAATCCACTTGAGAAACAGAATGACAGACGTAATGTTCCCAAGGAATCGATACGATCAAGTGATCAAAGGTTTAAACAATTCAAACGATCACGTATTAGCATATGCTTCAAACTTTAGCATCGCTGCCGACTCGCATTTAGTATGTATACAAACAAACACCGGTGATGAAAGCACTTATCAAACGCAAGCGATAAGTATCAACAATAATCCAAGAACAAGTACGTACGTAATTTTTGTACGTCTGTTCGAACGTTTTGAAAGTAATCGGTATTTGATCGGTATAGTAACAGGCACCAGCTTTATCGTTATTAACGGAGCGTTGAAATCGTCGATGGGTCTGTCGGCGAAGTCCAGTATAGTTGAGGATGGATTGATGGTGGAAATAATGCCAGAAAAGATGGAAGCGTTGAAGGCTGCTCTAAAAAATATGCAAGACTTCTCGATCGGATGTGGTCGACAAGGAGCGCCCGAGCCAGATGAAACGGTGAACATAAAATGGGTTGATAATGACGTGCAGTTCAATCTTGGGTAAATATTAAATATTAACGATTGTTGTCTGTAGTCGCGTATTTATTTAAATTTGTTATTTGTTCTCAGAGTGAAAAGTCCTATCGACAGACAACCGATGGATGGTATTCCTTCAATCAGAGTACATAATGGTATTGATTACAAGGGAACGAGTAGATTTATTCGATGGACAGAAGTGTTCATTATCAATGTACGTTTAGGAAAGAATATAATCTAAATTGTAAATTGTTTATTGTTTATTTTTGTGATATATGACGTTGAATATGTTTTTTCTTTCTTTTTGAAGTCCGACGATCATCCAAATGGAGTTTACGACCCGGTAGATATAAACAAATTATCAGGAAATATAGCGAAAGCAACGTGTACAGCTTTAGTGAAGTTATTGGACTTGTTGGCCAATGCTGGCTTAACGAAACTTGGCGTAAGGACGACTATTCATCCCGACAACGTAAGTGTACTGTAACAATTTGTAAGTTGCAAGCTTTTCTTTTAAAAAAAAAGTATGTAACAGATTTTGAAACTTAATTAGAGATAGTCTTTAGTTATTTAAAATAATTTTTTTTTTTTAATGAGAAAAGAACTGAATATAACTGAATTATAATAATACTAGGTTGGTTATGAAGCCGGTAGCGAAGGCATGAAATTGCCCCCAATCTATATGAAGAGTTTAGACAACGAATTAATTCAAGTTCTGCATAAAGCAGCGCAAAGCAGTCAAGATACACACACTGTGCTTGAATTAATTTTTTATATACTCGATGATTAAAACACCTTGCTTTGTTCGCTCCAATTTTGTTAACAATTTATATACATGAATATAAAGTTCGCGACGTTTGTACACGATCGAAATGTACAGTTAAAAAAAATTGGCAGAACCATTGAGAGAGAAATAGATCTTTTAAGGAAAAAATATTTTCTATCCGAGTACTATCTATATAGATAATGAAACACACACACACACATACATACACACAGCGCTTATACTATAAAAATATATCGACTCTTGTTCGAGCATAAATATAACAAGTATAAAAATGAGATAGAGAGAGAGAAATAGAGATTATGAAATTCAAAGTTGAGAATAGATAATGAAGATTTATTTTATATTGTATTAGCTTCAATCCTTTGGATTCTGTTTGCTTTTTATGAGACAAAAAAAAAAAAAAAAAGAAAAGAAATTAATGTCACATTTTTTGTACATTACATATGTACATGTAAATTTTATAAAAAATATTGATGAAAAATTTCTTGCGACTGAAATCAAAATGAAGTATCATTATTTGTTATGTAAATATATCTGTTTTGTTGCTATTCGTATAATATGTGTATAATAATAATTAATAGTACTTTTCTGTCGAAGGAATATTAAAAAAATATCAGTGTAACAAACTGAAAGATTTTTATTTATCTTTTTTTGTATTATAATAAGGAGAAAAATGGTTAAAATCCTTCAATGGGATATTTTGAATTAACTTTCTTTTATATATATATATAAGCGTATGTTAAATGTTGAATTTGGCAGAAAGATATGAATTATTGTTATTCTAATTAAGGACTTGAGATTCAAGCCTGACTTATTGTGATCATAAAAAACTGAGCTAGAGAACTTCTTTGCATTTCATCAAATTTCTGCAACTTTTCTGCTAATTGAAATCTATTCCACTTTAAAGTTGGGCTTAGCAAAGGAACAAAATTTACATTTCAATTGAAGGGATTTAAATATGGAAATATTTCTAATGTGAATAACACGTCTGTAATAGTAACTGCTAATAATAATCTGTAAATATGTATAAAAGCTGAAACACATACATCTGTTTTATTATCATAGTATAGATTTTGTTTTTTTGAAGATAATTAACAGTAATCCGTAGATGAAGTATTTCTTTAGTTTAGGATATAGCATTTTTGTGATATAACCTTTTAATTTCGTTTTTTTTTTTCTTTGCTTTTTCTTGTAATTTTTTGAGAATCAGATTAAATTTTAGAACTTAACGTTTTGCCAGACAAACAGTAGGTATACGCAAGCCTGCTGAAGTACCAAAAAAAAAAAAAAAAATAATTTTTGTTCCAAACTTTCTCTATTGTTGTAACTAATTATCGACGTATATAAATGTTTATATTTGTTATTAAAAAAAAAATTAGAAAAAGGAAATCCACATATTTTAAAAATGCAGAATTTTATTTTTCGTTGCTTATATTGTAAGAATTGTCACATAAAAGTCATATAAAGTGATAAATTAATTGACTATAGAAATTAAGCGTGTAATTGCAAGGAGTTTCACTTGACCGCGAGGAATTGTAACACGTTAGACTTTGAAATGTTTAATTTGTCAACATAGGAAACAAATCGGATTGACGAGGAAACTGAAATTTGTAATTCGCAAATAAAAAATTTATTATTAGAAATTTGTGATTTGTAAATAAAGAAAATCGTGTGGGTACGTCTTTGGTGTTCTCATTTCTTATTTCTGATCGCGTTTAAAGAATGAACGAGAATTACAATTAAAATATAAATATCTTTCTCGTTTACATAAAATATAATTTTTGTCGTAAAATATACAGTGAGGGAGCATAAACTATACAATCAAAAATTGCCGATAATTTTAACTGATGTAACTTTGTAAATTAATTTAAAGATCATAAAACGATTCACTTACAATTAGTTTCATTCTACCTTGACACTCGTGAATTCATTTTCTTCGAAGATGATTTCATATTATATAGCTGATGGGAAAGCCAAAATTGAAAATTTTCGTGTCCAAAAACATGAAAACATTTTTTTGTGCAAACTTTTGTGATACAAAAAATTTTGTGGTATAAATGAGACCAAAATTTATATTAATTTAAAGTATCGACGATTTTTCAGTTATGCCCAATTAAGAAGTATATCTTCGTACACTAGAATTGTTTCTCTCAAACACTGGTCACCTTTTACCACAAATGAATATCATATCGAGCTTTTCTTGCATTGAATAGTCCGAATTACGAATTACTAACAAATTTCGACACATTGATCGGGATTTCAAACTGCTAGAAGAGATCATTAACGACGCAGTAAATAGTAAACATGTTTATTTACATTTATTATTAGGCTCTCGATCGTTACATCATGGCGAAGGTCTGCAATCTCGATAGAGATAAATTTATACGTGAACCTTGAATTTTCAAGGTCATGCTTCTACATATTTGAATGTATTTTTTTATCAGTTATTCGATGCAATATGTTTGTATGGAAAGGAAAAAATGACCTTGGAAGAAAAATATTTTTTGTACCATCATCACACAATTCAGAAAGATAAAAAAAACACCATCACTACCAAAGTAATCAAAATGATAAATTTATAATTTTCTATCTAAATTTTATACATTTATAACAGTATATTTTTAGATACTCGAGCGATTTTTAATAAAATATATTAATAGCTGCTTGTATTCCTTATTGTATTATTACAATACCTTGTACCTTGTATCTTTAATTTCTTTGCCACAAATGTCGGTAGTTCTAGTGTTATTAAATGGACCACCTTGTGTATCGTTTGAATCGTGGCGCGCGAAAGATCGGCCGGTAAAAAAACGAAAGTAACTAGATACGAATTTCGTATGTTCGCGGTAAATCTCGACGCGCGGTCGAGATAAAAATGGGAAACGTCGAAGAAGTTTGAGTGAATTTCGAGAAAGCACGCTCGATAAAGCAACGGCAGCTGGAGAGTACGATGATCAGCGAAAATGAGGAGGGAACGTTCCCGATCGCCTGACCTCTTTAAATAAAAATTAATAAGCCATGTAAGTTCTGCCACTGACAACTGATATGACATGATCATGGCGGAGTCCACGAAGAAGACAGAGGATGATAAAGTCAAGTGCAAGATTGTGATCGTCGGGGCCGGGATGGCCGGACTGTCGGCCGCGAATCACTTGCTGAAAAACCACGAGACCGACTTTTTGATCGTCGAGGCACGGGGTCGGATCGGTGGCCGTATAGTCGCCACCAAAATCGGTGAGTCCCTACTTAACCTATTTCCCGTGTTTCGTCAATCAATAAGCTTTTCAGTCCCCCGTTTTTTGTATTTGACTCGTTCGTTTTTCCAGTATATTTTCCGATATTTTACATTTTTACACGTTTATGATTTTCGATTGTCGTAACGATAGAAGATAAAGTTATCAATTTGTTTCTCTGTTCCTCTCAAATATTTTCTGACAAATGTTCAAAAACAAACGAATACATATAAAAGATATTAAACTATTGAACTAACAATAAGTCTTGGTTAGGACCCAACAATAAGAAATGATTAATCATTTTCAATTTAAAATTCAAATGAAAGATATAACCTTCTCTCTGTGTACATGTGCAAGTTTCATCATGGAAATAATTATCTGGAGATCCTCATGAATCTTAAGCACACCTGTGCATTTTACATATAGGCAACGAGAAGGTAGAGTTGGGAGCAAACTGGATTCACGGAGTCTTAGGGAACCCAATGTTCGAGTTGGCTATGGCAAACGGATTGATAGACATAATACGCGTACCAAGGCCTCATAAAGTAGTAGCCGCTATGGAAGATGGGAAACAATTGCCTTTTCCAATTCTCCAAGAAATCTACGAAGCTTATGTGTGTTTTTTAAGAAGATGCGAAGAATATTTCCTAAGTACTTATAGTCCCCCGGATGGGATAAACAGCGTTGGGGCTCACGTGGCACTGGAGGCCGAGATCTACCTATCGGCCTTGCCACCAGAAGAGAGAAAAATTAGACAGTTGATGTTTGACTGTTTACTCAAACGAGAAACCTGCATTACTGGCTGTGATAGCATGGAAGATGTTGACTTGTTGGAAATGGGTTCCTACGCAGAACTCCAAGGTGGGAATATTAGTCTTCCGGATGGATACAGTGCTATATTAGAACCAGTTTCAAAACACATACCAAAGAGCAGTATTCTGACTAAACACGCTGTGGCCAAAATTAGGTAAACGGACCTTGAAGTTGGTTTCTTATCAGTCAATGTTAAATTTTTACACTTCTTGTTACATCAGTATATTGAATTGTAGGTGGCAAAGAAGTAAATGTGCGGACAATGAAAATTCTAATAATCACTCTAACACGAACCCATCTGTCGTAGTACAATGTGAAAATGGAAAAACTATAGTAGCCGAACATGTGATTTGTACATTGCCATTAGGAGTACTTAAGGGGAAAGCGAACGACATATTCGAACCACCTTTACCAAACGACAAACTCGAAGCCATAGATAGACTCTTATTTGGTGCTGTAGATAAGATATTTTTAGAGTACGAGAGGCCGTTTTTGCATCCTAGTGTGTCGGAAGTAATGCTTTTGTGGGACGACAGGGGACTGTCGGAGGATGAGAAGCAGGACATCAATAAAACGTGGTTCAGAAAGATCTATTCTTTTACAAAGATCACGGAGACTCTGTTACTTGGCTGGATATCGGGGAAGGCTGCCGAGTATATGGAGAAATTAAGCTCGGCGGAAGTGGCGGAAGTATGCACGTCGATACTGAGGAGATTTCTCAACGACCCGTTTGTGCCAGCACCAAAAAATTGTTTGCGCACCTCGTGGCATTCGCAGCCGTACACGCGTGGTTCCTACACCGCTATGGCTGTCGGTGCAAGTCAATTAGACATTAATTGTTTAGCTGAGCCTATAGTACAAGAAGACGACCCTTCGAAAATAGTAATAGCATTTGCAGGCGAGCACACACATTCTTCCTTTTATAGTACAGTACACGGGGCGTATTTGACCGGTCGAACCGCTGCCCAGACGCTCTTGGAATCGAGAAAGAACGAAAAGAACTCGTTGAGTCTGAGTTGCGAAGACACGAGTGATCTAAGCTCATGGATACAAGGGATTTCCTTGAATTAAACATTAAGAATTATTCGAAAGGGGAAGCGAGCGGAGAATTATTCTCTGTATCGCAATTTTCACATAATTGAGCACAATTTATTGTCGTGGTACGAAGGATATTTTACACACTGTCGAAGTCGATGACAATTGTGATTTATAGATGTTTAGCGTTAACGCGAGATCTTGCGAAACTATTTTAGTTTTGTAAATAATATAGCGAATTGTTTATATTATGTACATAACATAACGCCTGTTTAAGATTTTAAGACTCGATGAATATGTGTTTTGCGATTTTATTTACTGTCACGCTTTTCTTCTCGAACGATAAAGAAAGGGCTGATAGTTTGAAAATCGTGTCACAAAAGGGCATGCTTCATTTTACGGGATCACCTAACGTTAACTGTAAAAATTTTATATATTTAATGCCGTCGCGTGCTTTTTATGCGTAATAAGAATTCACACGTCCATAATCGCTGATCATTGCATCAAAAATAACGAATTGATTTCTATTCATCCGGTGGATGAAACAAAATTGAAACATGATCTTGATTTAACGAAGAGGTAAAATTAAACATTTGTGTTTGCATAGAAAATTTAATAACTTATGGCATATATATATATATATATATATTAGAAAAATTATGGAAGAATTCCGAAATTACCAGCCGTTCCATCGAATATATTCCTTTTTCTACAGTCTTCATGCGTTATTATTTCAAAGTATTATACAGTGCATTTTCGTCTAGTCATGTTGCGTTATTTTTAGCATTATAGTTTTAAAATATGCAACAATACTACCTTTTATCTTTTTCTAACGCAAATAATGTATCAGCTTACAATAAAACTAATCACTGATTTACAATGTAAATCAATTCTGCATATTCATTTTGCAAACAAGACAATAGAAATAGGTGGTCGTAAATTATGTTTAAAATGTGATAGAAATCTTTTTCTTATATACTTACAATATCGTTTTTTTATATACTTACATTTAATATTCTTCTATGTCTCGTTTTTTTTAATACGTATTTCATATTTTTAAGATCCCAAATATACATTTATTTCTTTGCAATGCCACTCAACATTACCTTGTGACAACGCAAATTGAAATGTAACTGGTGAAACCAAAAAGTAAAACAAAAAAAAAAAAATGTTATACTATGCACAGATAGAATTACAATTGAAATAAATAATTTTTAGTAATTAACGAATTATTTTAATATAATTAAAATAATTTAATATAATTTCTTTCCCTGAATGAGTCAAAACAGTCGATGTTAAGAAACTCGCCTAAAAAACCTTTGATTAGAAATAAGCAATACCTTTATTGTTATGTTAGTTTGTACATTTATTGTACAAATAAATATCGTACAGTATATTTTTAAGCAACTATGGCGATTACTTAATTACACAAACACAGGTATATAAATTCTGCTAATAGAATCTGATTACAGGATGTAACTGTACATCAATTCACGACAGATTACGATAGATTACGATTATTAGTTTTAAATCATGCCTTAATATTAAACACGTATATTGTAACTTGATTTCTTTTTTTCTTTTCCTAAATAATGACACTGAAGAGCAATTCAATTTTTTGCTTGAGTATTTATTAAATCATGTGGTTATCCTTCTTTCTTTTATATAAATCTTTCAATAAGAAGAATTAGTACGTATTTATCAGATTTCTTAACAATTAAGAGTCTAATTGGCGGCCTGTAAATCCTTGCCCCTACTTTCCTGGTCGCTAGCGCTACCCCCTCCACTGCCTCGATCTCTTCCTCCCACTACATTGAAGTTTCCTGAGCATGAGCCCCACTCTCTGTCTGTTGATTTCCCTACTAATTGTAAGCAAGTGGAGGGGGTAGTGTTAGCGATCAGAAAAGTGAGGACAAGGGCTCGCAGGCCGCCACTTAGCCATCTCTGCTTAGATAATTTGTGAATTTACTTTACGATAAAACGTCACGTTGGCATTTCTTATTTTAATTGTTATAACAGAAAACAAATTGCGTTGAATTTCCAAAGAGACAGAAAAACTTAGTACAGTACTTAATCGTGATTCCTCGGATAAGATATAACGCGGTAAATAAGTTAATATAAATTGACTATTCAGTTACGTTCTCTGCATGCACCAATGTAACTGCATAAAATGAGTGTACACCTGATAACGCGTTTCTCGTCAGATACATATAGTATATAAAATACACCTTTACACTTTCTAGTTAACAATTGAACACTTTCTTTTTTTTTTTTTTCTCTCATCTAGCGCAGTGAGGTATATTGAATATCATAATGTTCTCGTCACTGGCTCCCTAAAGATATAATACTATAATTTGAAACAACTTTTGCATGGTCTTTCGCAGGTGTATAAATCTATGGGGGAATTATAAATATTTCATAGGCTATTATATCGCTAAGAATTTGTAAATCGATAAAAAGGTTATAAGGTCGTGACGTAACAATGGAAGACAAAGATCAAGATATAAATGGTAATTCAATGCTGTTTAACTGTAGTTGTGTGATACTAGCGTTCTGGCTAAAACGATCTTGTACAATGGGATTTTATACATCTCGACTACATTCGTACCGTCTTAATGTATCGTCGAATTTTCTGAGCATACGTATACCAAAAAATTATATTCATTAAAAAAAAAAAAAAAAAAAAATGCTTCCGGAGTCGAATGTTTTTGTATAATAATTTCGAGAAAAGAATGACGTAAAACGAGTTCAGAAGTAACGAACGAAAGAAAAAGAACACTTTTAAGATAAATTGGAACACCTAGGCAGTAGTATATTCATTACGTTGTTAGCATGACTTTCAAATAAAAAGGAAAGAAAAATAGCTCTCAGAGAATGAGGTCACGGGAATTCCCAAGTACCGGGATATTTCAGAATCTAACGATTTCACACTTCACAAGAGATCGTCGTTTCGATTGGACCTCGCTTGAACTTATCGTAAAACCAACGATACAGATATGATATGACCATTAAAACATGATCGGTTCACTTGATTATTATTATTATTACTTGATCACTTGATTATTATTATCATTACTTTTTTTTTTTTTGTACTCTAATCGAACGAATCTGGCAGCTGTGAAATTAAATACAAAAAAAAAAAAGAAAAATATTCATCTGTCAAGACTGCTACGGACAGAACAGGATAAAGTTATTGACTACGCGTTGTCGTTTGCTCTCGAGGAATTATACATCATGCTTACTGAACTTCGTCTTCGACATAGAAATATAATTGAAAGTTCGATGGGGTGGGAGGGAAGGGGAGGGTTTGTGCGACGATTTAACGAGCAGTGTTGAGAAAAAAAGGGAAGGGGGGGGGCTCGTCGTCCCTGTCGACAATTCACGAGTTCAGTCGATCCGAGTCTCATATGGAAGTGGTGGTGTGATGGTCCGCCCCGTTCTGGGCTTGTGCGTTGTGCGGCAACGAAGCCAGCTCGTTTCTGCTCAAATAATTCACGATCCCGGCTCCGAGGGAATCGCCCACCACGTTCACCGTCGTCCTGCAGCGATCCCTGTCGATTCAAAGACGAACATTTTAGCAAAAATTCGCTTGAAGCAGAAACTAACCTAAATAAATCTAACCTAAGGAAAAACTAACCTAAATAACCTAACCTAAACTTAAATAAAACTTATCTAAACCTAACCTAAACCTAAATAAAACTAAACCTAACCTAAGGAGAAACTAACCTAAATAA